CTGCCCAGAATCCCAAGAGTCAGCGTCCATCAACAAAAGCTGAAAAGCGCCTGGGATAGCGCAGGGTCCCAGAGCAAGGTGTGACTGGCGCCCTAATCACTGTTAACAAAGTTTTACCTGCTCCTGAGACCACGCAAGTTGGAGGGTGGGGTGTCAACTAGAGAAAAACCAAGCCTGATCAGCGACTCCCAAAGGGACCACCGAGGGGGAGGGGAGGAGCTAACAGGAACCCAAAGTCGTGCAGCAGAACCTCCTAGCTATTTAAAAAAAAAAAACAATTAAGCTTTAAAAATCCGGACTGGAATCCTGGAGGAGCCTTCACGTTCTTGTGGACCTCAATAGGCATTGACCCCAAGGCTCATCTTACTCCTCTTACTCATACTTCTAGGGACCTTGGTCACATCCTTAAGATGAGGGAGTCTGAAGTAAATCTGTGGAGCAGCTCTGGAGACATACATCCTTGGTTTCTAAAATGACACAGCATATGGGACAGCAAAGGGACCCAAGGGCCAGCAGTTCTCCAAACCAGCCTGTCTATGTGAGACAGAGATCCCAGCAAGTGTTGCTGCTCTGTTGGAAACCATCTTGGAGATATCTTAGAAAGTGTTTTCTGTCTTGTGTAAATTATCAGGATTCCCCAAGAGCAGCTGCATCACAGCTTTAATGTCTACATGGGTAAGGAGATGACCTTTAAGACTTCCATTAGTCTTGGAGTTGCTGCCCAATCCCATCACAACATCGTAAGTGGAAGCTGGAAATAAGAATTGTTATATCGAGGTTTTTATTCCTCTCCCCAATATATATAGTTAAAATCCTCCTTTAAACCCAATACTTGCATCTTCACACAGACCTTAGAGTGTGCAGTGTCCCCACTCCCCAGAGGCTAAATAAAGGGAAATGTGGTGTCCCTATGGCATTAAGCATCTTCTTGGATATCTTCAATGCTATGCCATTAAATTTAATGGGGAGAACCAAGCTCGTAGTTACCCTGCCCCTATTACTTAAAACACACACACACACACACACACAACTGGAGGGGCGACTCAACATACAAAAACCAAAGGAGAGTGAGAAAACTTCTTCAGCCTCTGCCCTCTTTTCCACAGTTAATAACTCCAGAACAGCCCCAAGCCTATCTCACCAATCTGGAATCTGAAATTGGCTTCAGCATGGGGTGAGTTATGATTACATCCCAGAATAGGTTAAAGCTCCACAGATTAAACTTCAAGTCTAAAACACCCTCAGAAAATCCACTGCTGCAGGTCTAGTTCCTGCCCAACCCTCCTTAAGACCCCTAAGCTCCTGAAAGTGGCTGTGAGTCTGTGCAGAAGAAGCTGGGTTCACTCTCAGGTTACTTTGACCTCTGGGACCCCAAAGAAAAGGCTTGGAAGAGATGGACAATCTTATTCTGTCTTGTGTAGCCTGCTTTAGGCAGGGCACAGTCAAGCCTCACCAACATTCCACTCCAGACCCAGACCCTGGGTAGGGAGAGCAGTCAGAGAAAAAAAATCTCATAGGTCCTGGACTTTGTGGTCTTTTCTGAGTTTCAAAGGGATCAGACTGATTTGTGACAATCAGAGTCTGAGCAATACACACACACAAGATTTCAGTACTTGAAGAGGGTAGAGTAGTGGGGAGGACAAGGAATCTTTTCCTTGGCTGATGTATCAATAGGAGTCCCCCCATAAAGGTTTTGATGTCTCTCTGGACCTTGTGCTTTGGCCTTGGTAGGGACTGTCCAGCGAGAGTGACAAACTACTGGCATCTAAGTCCCTTCCCTCTCTCCAATGAGGCCAGCAAATGTAAGGCTATGCATCCTGGGTTTTGATGGTTTGGTCTGCGGAACTTGGGCTAGGAAACTTTTCTACTGAGACTAGCATCCCATCCACCCACGCAGGCATGAGGCTCATCACGTTGCTTTGCCATATGGAGAAGAACGCGGAAATGTGTATGGTATCACCCACAACGGAGTACCAGTCTCTTGTTCCTGTATGAATCTTCGTGTCTGTGTTTCTGTTGTGTGCATTTCTGCGTTTAAGTGCTGCGGGGAAAGGGGACTGAGTATTGGATTCTCACCCATCCCCACTCCCAGCGAAATAACTCGCTGGTCGGTTCAGTTTTTTTGGTTTTGCCTCCATGTGCTTCGCGCACCTAGGGAAAATGCTCAGAGAGCTTGATGCTGCGGGAACTTCTAGGGCTGCGCGAGCAAGAGCCCTGCTTGGAGAAAGGAGTTATTACTCCTTGGAGAAAAGCTCCAGTCCTGTGGGGCATGTGAAAGACACGGGCCTCAGCTCTGCTCGGCTCTCCGATGCGCACCCGCCTCCTCCGGGCTCTAGCCCAGAAGTCTGGCGTCTGCAGATTTACCAGGCTCAGCCTTCTCTTTCGTGTCCCAGAACCCTCAGTTCTACTTGCTTAGGCAGGATCGAGCGCTGCCAGAAAGATTCCAATAGTCGATGCCCTAAAGAGCAGCCCCCCCGGGGGGGGGGGGGACAATCCTCCCCCAAAGCCGCCTTTCCTCCCAGAAAGGATTCTAAGCCCTGCAGCTGCTCTTCCTCCAAATAAACTTTTAAACTTCACCAGAGGTTGTGATGTTCCGTTTCTGATGAAAATGTGAAAAGCTCCTCTACCCGGGAAAAGCCCTTCAAGAGTTTCACAAGATAAATATTCAGGGACCAGGGGTAGGGTTGACAGAGGCGGGGGGGGGGGGGGGGGGGGGG